GGGAAGAGAGCAGAAGAGCCAAAGAGGGAAACAAGAGCTGTGAGGGAGACCTGCAGGTGTCAGAGGAGCCCGGGGGCGGCATCCAATAGGTGTCCAGGATGTCCGAGAATGAGTAAGAGTTAGGAGGTGGAGAAGCCATAGGGTGAAACGAATGTACAGAGGCCAGAGAGGCTGGGGAGCCTGCAGTGGGCGGGGAGGGGTGGCAGTGAGCAGCGGCTCAGAGGCGCCCAGGCACCCTCGGCTCTGACGGTGGCCGGCGTTGGGTGGCAGTCCCTCCCACCTGGGCTGCCAGTTGCACCATTCCAGGGCCATCAATTCTCAGCCGCTTCTCTGGCCAAGCCACCCACCTGGAGTGGCATAGCCACCTCCCCTCTAAGAGCTAGAGTAAGTTTTCCCTTCTCAAACCCACAGGCAGCTTGGAGCTGGAAGAGAGACTCTCTTTCTCAGTTTGCTTCTCTCTCTGTCTAGCTTGTGCTCTCTGGCGCACTCTCCCCGACTCCCTCCCCCATGGCAGTCTGTCCCAGCGGTTAAGAGCTCAGGTTCTTTTTTTTTTTTTTTTTTCTTGCGTTATGCGGGCCTCTCACTGTCGTGGCATCTCCCATTTGCGGAGCACAGGCTCCGGACGCGCAGGCTCAGTGGCCATGGCTCACGGCCCAGAGCTCAGGTTCTTAACAGACCTCCGCTCAGATACTGGCTGCCAGCTGTAGCCAGTGGGAGCATCACTGTACTTGTCCCAACCTCAGACTCCTCATCTATAGAAAGAGGAAGCACAATAGTTCCTTTTTCCCAGGGACTTTGTGGGAATTAAATCAAATGCAGAATATGCAGCACTTAGGCGGTGCCCAACCAGAGGTGTGAGCTGTCATCCTCACTCAGACACCCCTCCCCCCAAAGGAAACACCTGCTCTGGGGTCCTGCAGCAGATCTGCCCCACCTCCACGATGCTGGCAGTGCTGGGATGGGGCAAGTTCAGGGAGCCACAGGGTGTAGGATGGGGATGCTTCCTGGAGATCCACCTTGCCAAGGAGGAAAGAAAAGTGGGCAGCTGGCAGGGGGCCCTGCCCCTGCCCAGGCTCCTGAGTGGACTGGGGGCTCTTCCTCTGGGGCCTGGCCTGCCTGTGCTCCTCCACAGTTCTCCCCACCCCAGACACCCTCCCAGCTGAGCCTGAGGCTGCCTGCACCCTCCATCACCCCCCACGCCTAGTGAGGCCTCAACTCAGCATGGGAAGGGGACCAGGGCTCCCCAGAGCCAGGGCTCTCTTGAGTCTTCCTGTGGTGGTGCCATGACCTTGGCCTCTGGCCCACCCAGGCCAGAACTGCTCACTCCCCTCCCCCTGCTTCCTGCTGCAAGCTCTGCCCCTCCACCTGCTCCCCCAACCCTCTGCTCCCCTACCAGGCAGAACATTCTGGCTCTGTGATGTGTGAGCACCACCTCCACCCTAATAGCCCCCCCAGCTCAGGTGGCAAGTGCAGGAGGGCCCTTATCCTGCTCCGGAGAGGCCTCATGGTGTGGTGGTTAGGGATTGGGGCTCAAGAGTCAGACTGCCTGGGTTTAGGCTCTGACTGCTCCTCGGTTTTCTCATCTGTAAAACAGGGCCGACAAGCGTCGCAGGGCTTCACGTGGATGGAATGTCAAACAAACGTTAGGGCAGTGCATGGCCAGGGCTTCCATCTTCAGTAGCTGTGTGCCAGGCCTACACCGTGTGGCCTCACGAGGCCCAGCACCAATCATGGTGCAGATAGAGCAGGTGGCCTCTGTTGAGGGAAGGTGTTCTGGGCAAGATTCTTAGTCTAAGCTTCTGTTTCTACGTCTATAAAATAGGGGATTATAATTGTATGAGCTGGTGGGGGGATCATTAAGAGGATTAGTGATGTGAAGCTGGTGAAGCCCTGCCTGGCACGTGGGGAGCCCTTAGGTGGCAGGTGTTACTATTATGCTGGGGCTGAGGGAGGCTGAACGACCTGCCCAGGGTTACAGAGAGGTTGATGGCAGAGCTGGGTTGGCAGCTTCACCGACCTTCTCCGGAGCCCCGCGTTCATTCCTGCAAAGCCCTGAGTGATACTGAGTTTGGAGGAACACTGCACTGCAGCTCCAGACTTAGCCCCACGTGCATCCCTGGGTGTGCACAACGCACCTGCACTCCCTCCTTCGGCCAAGCTCAGGTGTGGAGAGGCCCCTGGGTGGGGTGAGGGGAGCCCGGAGCAGGGATGCCAGGGCAAGTGAGACTTTCCTGGGGTGTGTGAAATGCCAGGCTAGTCCACTGTGCAGATATTGATGGGTGCTTGCCGTGAGGCACTGTGATATCTCTAATCATCACAGCAGCCTTGAGAAGCAGGTTGTTAGCCTAGCTTTAAAAAAATAAAATTTTTTTAAAAATTTGTTTTATTTTATATTTTTGGCCACGACCAGAGACTGAACCCGGGCCCCCAGCAGTGGAAGCGCAGAGTCCTAACCACTGGACCACTAGGAAATTCCCTAGCCTAGCTTTTTTTAAAAAGAACTTTATTGAGATACAATTCACATAGCGTACAATTGGTTCATTAAAGTGTACGAATCAATGTTTTTTTTAAGGTATTCACAGAATTGTGCAACCATCACAACAAGCAATTTAGAACATTTTCATCACCCCTAATAGAAGCCCTGTGCCCATTAGCAATCACTCCCCATTTCCACTCCCCCCAGCCCTAGGCAACCACTCATCTATCTACTTTCTGTCTCTATAGATTTACCTATTCTGAACATACAAATAGAATTAGATAATATGATTTTGTGACTGGCTTCTTCACTTGGTATAATGTTTTCAAGATTCATCTGTATTGCAGCATTTATCAGTATTTCCCTTCTTTTTATTGCCGAATGATAGTCCGTTGTATGGATATACCACACTATCCATTCATCAGTGGATGCACATCTGTGTTGTATCTCTACTTTGTGGCTGTTATGAATAATGTCACCATGAACATTCATGTACACATTTTTTGTGTGGACGTGTTATTCCATTTTACAGATGAGGAAACTGAGGTTCAGAGTGGAACCCTCTTGCCCAGGCTCCCCCAGCTGGTGAGCGGAGGACTCAGGCTGGCCACATCCAAATCTGGAGCCTGTGCTTCTTCCCAAGCCAGGCCTTGTTCTCAGAGCTGAGCTCAATGCTGTGACAGGGCTAGATCAGGACACAGGAGTGAGGTTAACTCTATAGAGGAAGGGGTGACAGCTTCCCTGGTCCTTGAAGGATGAGTTGGAGAGAGGAAGAACACTGCAGGCAGAGAAATAGCAGGTACAAAGGCCCAGAAGTGTGAGGCTGCCTGGTATCTGGGGCAAAGGTATGGGGGAGGGGAGAGACAGAGAAAGGGGTGGCAGGTGATAGGGTTGGAGAGGCAGGCACCCACTAGGTGATTAGATTTAAAAGGCCTTGAACGCCATGCTGGGCACGAAGGACTTTTTTTTAATGTTTGTCTGCATTGGGTCTTTGTTGCTGCGCGCAGGCTTTTCTCTAGTTGCTGTGAGCGGGGGCTACTCTTTGTTGTGGTGCGCGGGCTTTTTATTGTGGTGGCTTCTCTTGTTGCAGAGTACAGGCTCCAGGTGCGCAGGCTTCACTAGTTGTGGCGCACGGGCTCTAGAGCGCAGGCTCAGTAGCTGTGGCGCACGGGCTTTGCTGCTCCACTGCATGTCGGATCTCCCAGACCAGGGCTCGAACCTGTGTCCCCTGCACTGGCAGGCAGATTCTTAACCACTGTGCCACCAGGGAAGCCCTTTTTTTTTTTTAAGTCAATTGATTTTTGGCCACACGGCTTGCGGGATTTTAGTTCCCCGACCAGGGACTGAACCTGGGCCCCTGGCAGTGAGAGCACAGAGTCCTAACCACTGGACTGCCAGGGAATTCCCACAAAGGACTTGATCCTGAAGGCAGCGGGGAGCCCCGGAAGGGCATCGACATAATGTGAGGTCAGAGAGACTTTAGTCAAATCCGAGTTCTGGGACTTCCCTGGTGTCACAGTGGTTAAGATTCCACGCTCCCAGGGCTTCCCTGGTGGCGCAGTGGCTGAGAATCTGCCTGCCAGTGCAGGGGACACGGGTTTGAGCCCTGGTCCGGGAGATCCCACATGCCGCGGAGCAACTAAGCCCGTACGCCACAACTACTGAGGCTGCGCTCTAGAGCCCACGAGCCACAACTACTGAAGCCCCCGTGCCTAGAGCCCGTGCTCCGCAACAAGAGAAGCCACCGCAATGAGAAGCCCGAACACCACAACAAAGAGTAGCCCCCGCTCACCGCAACTAGAGAAAAGCCTGCGCGCAGCAACGAAGACCCAAAGCAGCCAAAAATAAACAAACGAATGAATTTATATGTTAAAAAAAAAAAAAAGAATCCACGCTCCCGATGCAGGGGACCTGGGTTCGATCCCTGGTCAGGGAACTAGATCCCACATGCATGCCGCAACTAAGAGTTCTCATGCCACAACTAAGGAGCCTGCCTGCTGCAACTAAGCCTCAGTGCAACCAAAAAAAAATGTAAAAATCCCAGTCTGCTTCCTAGAGACCTCTGCGTTAGTTTTGTCATCTGGAAAATGGGGATGACAATAACAATACCTCGTTAAAGTGTTAGGAGGATTAAGTGAGCTTCCATCTCTAGAGAGCTTAGCCCCTGGCTGGCAGAGAGCCAGCCCAGCACACGGTAGTGGGTGTAATCATCAAACAGTTTCTGGCAGAGCTGTGCCAAGGTTAGAGATGCTCTGGAAGGGCATCTGGCTGCCAAGTGAATAGTTAGGGGGAGGCTGTTGTCCAGGGAGGGGTCCTCGGTAGACTTGGGGGGGCAGTGATAGAGAGCTATGGGCAGGATTAGGAGAGGTTTAGTAACTTCTGCAGACTCTGAGACTTTGAGAATTGCTTGTGAATAATATCTGAATTCTGATCTTTTTGTGAGTCCCTGGGCCCGGTGCCAAAGTACCCATGGGCTGGCTTGATGGCCCCTCTCGTTCCTCCCTGCAGCAAGCCTAAGGACGCCATGCGGGGGGCTCTGACGTCCCTGTCTTCGCTGCCGCCACCTCTGCAGCTGCTGTTGCTGGTGCTGGGGTGCGGGCTGAGGGCGGCCGCCAGCGGTGGAGCCGCCGGGGCAGCGGGCTACCCACCGGTGCAGTACGTGCAGCCCATGCACAAAGGACCCGTGGGGCCGCCCTTCCGCGAGGGCAAGGGCCAATACATGGGTGAGCACCTCCCCGCCCCGCCCCGCCTCGGACAGTCCTGACACCCAACTCCCTGCCTCCCGACCTCCACCAGCTCTTCCCCGGCGCCCCCGCCTCCGGCCACAGCCCCTCAATCCCCACCAAAGACTTTCCCATCTCCACTTTCTTCCTGATGCTGCTGGTCCGGGGCGGGTGCAGAAGTGGGGTGGGGAAGTGGGGTGCTGCTGGCTGGCGGAGATGGTCTTTAGGTAGAGGGAGGGGCGGGAAGGTTTGTGGGGAAGTGGAGGGGGGGGTGGGTCGGCTCCGACTGGCTCTAAGGAGGGATGCTGGTGCCACCTGGTGGCCACTCCACCCCGGTCATGCAGGGATGAGAAGCTCTTAGGGAAGGCTTAGTCTGGGTGGGTTGGATGCTAAGAGCCCTGGGTGTGGATACCCTGCAGTTCCTAAGGTGGCCACTGAACTACCTAAATTCCATCTTCCATGAGAGCAGGGAGGGGGGAGACCGGGACTGGTCTTCATGAACAGATACAGAACCTTGTCTTCTCAAGTTGCACCACATGCTGGTATGGGGAGTGGGAAGATGGGTCCCCTGTCCCCACTGTCCAGGCCCCTGACTGACCCCTTCTCTCTCTTTCTCTCTCAGAAATGCCTCTACCGCTGTTGCCAATGGACCTGAAAGGAGAGCCTGGTCCCCCTGGAAAACCCGGGCCGCGGGGTCCCCCTGGCCCTCCTGGCTTCCCAGGAAAACCAGGCACTGGAAAACCAGGGCTACATGGGCAGCCTGGACCCGCTGGCCCCCCTGGCTTCTCCCGGATGGGCAAGGCTGGTCCCCCAGGGCTTCCAGGCAAGGTTGGCCCACCAGGGCAGCCAGGGCTTCGGGGGGAGCCAGGGATACGAGGGGACCAGGGCCTCCGGGGGCCCCCAGGGCCCCCTGGCCTACCTGGGCCCTCAGGCATTGCTGTCCCTGGAAAACCAGGCCCCCAGGGGGTGCCAGGGCCCCCAGGATTTGGGGGGGAGCCAGGGCCCCAGGGAGAGCCTGGGCCCCCGGGTGATCGAGGCCTCAAGGGCGAAAATGGAGTGGGCCAACCAGGGCTTCCTGGAGCCCCAGGCCAGGGGGGTGCCCCTGGACCCCCTGGTCTCCCTGGTCCAGCTGGCTTGGGCAAACCAGGCTTGGATGGGTTTCCTGGGGCCCCTGGAGATAAGGGTGAGTCTGGGCCTCCTGGACTGCCAGGACCCAGGGGGGAGCCAGGAGCTTTGGGCCCAAAAGGGCCCCCTGGGCTGGATGGTATGGGGGTACCAGGGCTAGCAGGGGTGCCAGGGCCACAGGGCCCACCAGGGGCCAAAGGGGAGCCAGGCACCCGGGGCCCTCCTGGCCTTATAGGCCCCACTGGCTATGGGATGCCAGGGATGCCAGGTCCCAAGGGGGACAGGGGCCCAGCTGGGGTCCCGGGGCTCTTAGGGGACAGGGGCGAGCCAGGTGAGGATGGGGAGCCGGGGGAACAGGGACCACAGGGCCTTAGGGGCCCCCCTGGACTTCCGGGGTCTGCAGGGCTACCTGGCCGACGTGGGCCCCCGGGGCCTAAGGGGGAGACGGGGCCTGGAGGACTCCCAGGAGTACCTGGCATTCGGGGTGACCAGGGGCCTAGTGGCCTGGCTGGGAAGCCTGGGCTCCCAGGAGAGAGGGGGCTTCCAGGGGTTCATGGACCTCCTGGACCGACTGGGCCCAAAGGCGAGCCAGGTTTCACGGGCCGCCCTGGAGGACCAGGGGTGGCAGGAGCCCTGGGGCAGAAGGGTGACTTGGGGCTCCCTGGGCAGCCTGGCCTGAGAGGCCCTTCTGGAATCCCAGGACTCCAGGGTCCGGCTGGCCCTATTGGGCCGCAGGGTCTGCCAGGCCTGAAGGGTGAACCAGGCCTGCCGGGGGCCCCTGGAGAGGGGAAAGTGGGGGAACCTGGCATGGCTGGGCCTACAGGGCCTCCTGGGGTCCCAGGTTCCCCAGGACTCACGGGCCCTCCTGGGCCTCCCGGACCTCCCGGGCCCCCTGGTGCCCCTGGGGCCTTCGATGAGACTGGCATCGCTGGCCTGCACCTGCCCAACGGCGGCGTGCAGGGAGCTGTGCTGGGCAAGGGGACCAAGCCCCGGTTTGGGCTGGGCGAGCTGTCGGCCCACGCCACGCCCGCCTTCACCGCTGTGCTCACCTCGCCCTTCCCCGCCTCAGGCATGCCTGTGAAGTTTGACCGGACCCTCTACAATGGCCACAGTGGCTACAACCCGGCCACCGGCATCTTCACCTGCCCCGTGGGCGGGGTCTACTACTTTGCTTACCACGTGCACGTCAAGGGCACCAACGTGTGGGTGGCCCTGTACAAGAACAACGTGCCAGCCACCTACACCTATGACGAGTACAAGAAGGGCTACCTGGACCAGGCGTCTGGGGGGGCCGTGCTCCAGCTGCGGCCCAACGACCAGGTCTGGGTGCAGATGCCCTCGGACCAGGCCAATGGCCTCTACTCCACCGAGTACATCCACTCCTCCTTTTCAGGATTCTTGCTGTGCCCCACATAACCCATGCTGCCCCGGCCTCCTCCTCTTTAGCGGTAGAGAGACCTTCTCACTTACAAAGAACCTCCATTTAAAGAAAAAGCCAAAAGCCGAACAGAGGCGGGAGCAGAGGCGGCCGTGGCCTTGGCCGGAGGAGACTGACTGGGTTTCTCTCTCCGCGCAGGCTGAGGTTGTTTCTGGAAGAAGGTGGCCTGCGTTCGTCTCCCCCGAGTGTCTGTGCAGCGTCGGGGTTGTGCCCCCTCTCCTGCCCTGCCTGACCTGCAGGCAGGGTCCCAGGACACTCTGCCCAGCTGGTGGAGACCCCTGGCCCCCCGTGAGTGCTGGGCTCTGCTGGGCGGCGAAGGATGGTGCTGCTGTGTGAGTCAGAGCTGAGAGGGGACTGAATTCCCCCACCCATTCCCCCGGGGAGACATATTCCCAGCCCTGCCCTTCCTGCCTGCCCGCAGACGGCCCCTGCTCAAGGAATGGGGCAGGGCCTCCCTCAGTTCTTGGCTGGGGCTCTTCCGGCTGCCCTGGGTGGGACCTCCAGCATTAAGACGGTGGGTCCCTGGAAGAGCTTTTGTTTCTCTCCAGGGGAAGGGAGAGGAGGGGGACCGTCGAGGTGGCCAGTGGACACCCTGTCAGGACTGCCACTCTAGCAGTGGGGCGGTGGCATCAGGCCTGTCCCTGGCAGGTACAGGCGTGTGGCCCCTCCTTCAGGCTCCCAGGAAGTGCCGACCCCCCTTCACTGCTCAGGCTGCAGCCATGGGGAACGGTGGTTTGTGAGGGGTAGGGGCATGGGTCTGGGGCAGGATGGCAGCTCTTCACGTTTGTGTCCGTCCCCCAGGCTGCCCCCACCAGCTCTGGCTCTGTTCATCATGAGGCCAGCCACCCAGGCCCTTAGGGACCGCCACAGGCAGGCAAGAGGCAGGATGGGCAATCAGCGAACATGAGTATTCCTCCCTTTCTCTCCTTTCACCTGCTGGGGGAGGGCTGATTTTCTCAGACAAAATTGTAAGGGATCCTTGCCACCCCGAACCCCAGTATCCCCAAGGCAGAGAGCTGCTTGTTTGCCCTCAGAACAAGGTGCACACAAGCTTGGGGATGAAGACCCCGCCTGCTTTTTCTTAATAAGAGCCATATGATGGGTGTGTCGACTACAGGGGTTAATCTGCTGGGGCTTCCTCTCCTTCACCCTCTGGTTCCAATTTCCTGTCCTAGGCAGGATTAGGGCCCAGGAGGAAGAGGCCCTGAGAAAAAGGGTGCCAACAGCCCCCTTTGGAATGAGTTGGATGTTTCTGCCATTTTCCCCAATCAGAGCTCCGCCCTGCAGGAAACAGGCAGGACCCCCTCCTATGCCCTCAGTCCCTAGTTCAAGCCGAGTGGATAGAGCTGAGGACCCAGCGTGAACCTGCTCCAGCTCTGGCCCATGCCAGCCTTCCTTCCCATGTTGAGGAAGGAGGCTGGCCACTGACTTCTTTTTTTTTTTTAACATCTTTATTGGAGTATAATTGCTTTACAATGGTGTGTTAGTTTCTGCTGTATAACAAAGTGAATCAGCTATACATATACATAGGTTCCCATATCTCTTCCCTCTTGCGTCTCCCTCCCACCCTCCCTATCCCACCCCTCTAGGTGGTCACAAAGCACCGAGCTGATCTCCCTGTGCTATGCGGCTGCTTCCCACTAGCTAGCTATTTTACGTTTGGTAGCGTGTATATGTCCATGCCACTCTCTCACTTCGTCCCAGCTTACCCTTCCCTGATCTCCCTGTGCTATGCGGCTGCTTCCCACTAGCTAGCTATTTTACGTTTGGTAGCGTGTATATGTCCATGCCACTCTCTCATTTCGTCCCAGCTTACCCTTCCCCCACCCCCATGTCCTCAAGTCCATTCTCTAGTAGGCCTGCGTCTTTATTCCCGTCCTGCCCCTGGGTTCTTCATGCCACTGACTCCCGACTTGTTACTCTGTGGCTCCTCAGGCCCATCGCCTGGCCACAACTTCTGCAAACAAAGCAGACCGTTTGCTTGCTTTAACTTTCAAAAGGAGAGACAAAAACCCAAATCCGCCCAAGTGGCACTTCAAGAGCAGGTTGTAGCTACGGTTCCTGGTGGGTTTCTTATTCATCGGCACCCACGGGTACTAAGTCTCAAATCGTACCTCGTGGAGCCATCTGCTCAGCCTCCTTCCTGGGTCAAAGCCACTGCCATCTGACCTGTTAGGGAGGCTTCTGTCGGGCGGAAATGCATCAGGTCCTAGTGGGAGCCCAGGGCCCTGAGGAGGGTACAGGGAGCCAAAAAAAAAAAAAAAAAAAAAAAAAAAAATGCTGTTTCACAGAACTGAGTTTCTGCTAAATTTCATTCCTGAAGCCTTTGGTGAGAGGTGGGTGGTGTTTCCGAAATATTTATGGGATTTCCAGGTGTCCACTTAACTGACTAGCTTTGATAAACTATGTCAGGTTTTAACAATGAAAACTACATTACCTTGTGCATTTTTATATTCTGATTTTTTTTTAAGATTAAGGTTTAAATGTTTTCCATTAGTAATTTCATTTCTAACCTGGTATAGGAGCTTAGTTCTCTACATACCTATTATGTACCCTGTGTCACAGAAGATTCGGGGAAAAATGCACTTGGGAATCAAAGAAAATGGGACTTCTTTTTGAAAAGAAAAACAACGGTATTGACTGTATTGACACAATCTCAATAAAGCCTGTTGAATAAACAGCACTGTGCTGAAACTGGCATTGATTCAGAGGTGTCTCGAGCCTCTGGATTTCATAAAGCACCCAGGGAGCTCTCTGGGGCTCTTGCTCTGCACCCTCTCAAGGAGCGTGCATTCCTCCCAGCCAGGGGTTCTATCACCACCGCATCAGAAATGCTTGATTCTCTGAAGCTGCCAAGGCTCTGCACCAAGTAAATGCCAAGAGGCATTTTAAGAAAGCAAAGTAAGGCAGTGGCTGGAGCTAGGGGAGACGGATCAAGCTTCCCTGGAACATTCCTGCAAGCTCTCAAGGGTAGTGGAGCATGACAGCTGGCTCAGGATCCCAAGGGTCAAGTTTCAACATCTGATACAAATTATGAATGAAATCAGGAATCTTTGCTCCTGTGGGCGGGGCCAGTGCCAGGCCCAGCGCTGAAGGCAGGGCCGGGGGAGCCGTCCTGGGAGAAAGCGCTGCCCCGTAACTTGCCGTACTCTGGGAATCTGGACAGCAGACCTGAGACCGACCTGTGCCCTGAAAAATCCTGTGGTTTTCCCCCAGCCTGGAAGAACCCCATCGTGGCTGAAAGCAGGCCTGTCCAACAGTCCTGAAACCTTAGGCTAGCTGCAGAGCTGGGCACGCGTCTCTCCACCAAGGCTGGAATACCCCTCAAGTTTGAGGGGAGGTGTCTCCTCCATTTTGATTTTCCTTTCTTCAGAATGGATGGTGCGCAGAACTTCCCAGCAGGCCAAGGCCTTTGACTGAGGCCCAAGATGCAGAATGAGGCCTGGCCTTCACCTGAGATGATGTGCCCCCCTCACACAAAGGTCAGCAGTCCGGTGATAACATGGTCCCCTCTGCATCGTCCTACAGCATTCTGGTTCCTGGCTGGGCCTGGGTTCTATTTGGGGAGCAACCTATGAAGCCAGGCTCTGAGAGCAGGAAAATCTGGCTTGTTCCTGCCCGCTGCCTGGGCCACTGTGAGGGATCTCCAACAGGACAAAGCACCAAACCACGCCTGCTCTGCTTTTCCTGGCTGAACAGCTGGAGGAATATGCCTCCACAAGCCAGCAGCTTGGGTCTCTAGCTCCTAGGAGAGTGAGGCCCAGACAGAGAGGCATAGGCACAGAAGGGCAAGGGGGGAAGAATCCGTGCAGGGCAGAGGAGAAACGCAGGAAACAGTGGTGGGATTTAAAGAACTGTTTATTGCTCTGTAACTTCGTGGGGAAGCTGTTAACAAGACCCATGACAGCCAAGGGCCAGGTGTGCATCTAGATCAGCTACATTCACGTGTCCACCTCCTGATCCATATAAACTTGGCGCCTGGGGGCCCTGTGCAGTCAAAGGCAGGCATCCTGGCAAACTGGTTAAATCCCAACAAGGAGAAACGATGCCGCAGATCATTTCCACCTCCCCAAATCCCATGTCCTAGATAATAAAGGAAAACACCACAAGTACTGCTCCAAAATAAAACCTGCCCCGGTCCCTTATGTCTGACTGAGGAGCCAGGTGCACCGAGGCTCTGCAGAAGCCAGGAACCCAGCAGCAGAAGGCACCCGTCCCTCCCTCACTGTTCAGTGACCTCCCCAGAGGAGTCCCCAGCCCCAAGGGTGCACTCCAGCCACACCGCAGGAAGGCCGAGGCAAGCCTAAGGGACCCCAGGGTTTCCAGTCCGAGCTGTAGTTGGTCCCGCTGGGTATGGCAGAGCTGTGGACCTCACAGATTCTTCTGGAAGACCCGGTGCAGGCTCTGGGCCAGGACGTCAGTCTCCTCATAGCCCTCACAGCTTTGCTGCCAGCTCTCTGGCACCTGTTCCATGCCATAGTAGGCACCAGCAATGGCCCCGGCCATGGTGGCAATGGTGTCTGTGTCCCCACCAAGTGAGATGGAATAGATGAGAGTCCTCTGGAGGCTGTTGAAGGCAGAGGGGATCTCGGGGTCGGGCTCCATGCAGCGCAGGAAGCAATAGATGGCGGTGGGCACAGATTCAAAGGCAGCGATGCCATTCCCTGTGGGGAAGCCAGATTATAGGAACATGAGCCACCCCCCTTCCCGAGCCCCACATGTCCCCAGGCTTCCTGCCACAAGTCAACATCCTCAGCTTCACGTTGGGCTGCGATTAAGAGCACAGGCTCTGGAGTTAGGCTACCTGGGTTCAAATCCCGGCTCGCCGACCTATTGGCTGTGTGATTCCTGTATCTTGGGTTCAGCTCCTCGTGTAGAGAGTGAATAAAGTTAGGAATTCTCGCAGGGCTGGTGTGAGGGTGAAATGACGTCCTAGAGGTAAAGCATTCTGCATAGTGCCCAGAACACAGTAAAAGTACTGTATGAATAAACATCAGTTATCACCATTAGCTGTAAAAAACTAGCGGCCGGCTGCCATCTCTGGGATGTTTATCTTTAAGGCTGAGGGTACTGTT